GGGGATGTGGCTATAGTGATGAGTGTTTATTATAAATACAAAACTTATATAAAATACTGAAAAAACAAATAAAAAACAGTCAAAAGGTTGAAGCAATCTCTCACCTCCCTGTACCTTTTTTCCCAGCATTCATAAACCATACCACCAACCTTGTTTATGTTATTTAATGATCGTGCTACTTAAAACAACATTTGTATACAATTTAGATGAAAAAATGCAGCTAAAACCAGTAAATAAAAGCCAAATGAAAGTTTAACACACTCGCCATGTGCATACACTCCCTGCTTTGCCGTAGTAATGCAGTCCAGCAAGGATGCTACCTCTGCCCATTCCTTAGCAATGCCCCCCTCCCCCAACACTGTTCCCCCCTCCCGCTCCCTCAGTGAGCCAGCTAACTTATGTGCAAAGAAATGTAATCAGGTATTATCTTTACATGTTTGCCCTTAGGACAATTATTTCTTTTACTTTTTTTTCACAATATGTATGTAGGATGGTGTGTGCATGTAACTGAGTAAAAATAAATGAATAAAGTTATGTATACTGTATCCACCCAAAATTAAGAGTTGAAAAACTACCATAACACCTCTCAGCTTGGCCCAGTAGCCTGGTGGTTTCAGTGATGAGTCTAACTTGGCTATAATGCTGCCAGCGATGTTAACATATGCAAATGTGAAAAGAAAGTTATCTGTAAATCTTCATTTGTATCAGGTATTTGTAAATTTAAAAATAAATATTGCAGGTATGACATTAATAGATTGTAATGCTTGTAAGAGTTCAGAAATGGTTACTGCTTTAGCTACCTCTGAAGAGTTGGGTGTCTGCCGTATGGACATTAATCGTCTCACGTTTTCATTATCAGTACAGTAGTTATAAATCCAACTTTTATATTACAATAATTATTATTTTTTAATTAACTAAAAATAATAATTATGTGTAACATATTTTTAATTCTGGAGTTGGATTAGGTAGAATTTAGCCTACTGGAGACAGCAACTGGGGGATTCATTAGCCTACAGCAGATAACAACTTCACCTATAGTACACAGTCTGACTTTTCTAGCAATTTTTCTGACAAAAAAGTGCGTCTTATATGCCATAAAATACTGTATAAAAATTATTTTATGTGGCAGCCACAGCATGGCGCAAAACTGAAAAGAAAGCAAATGAATAATTGAACACAAAAATTGGGAAATTATTGAATATTGTAAAGTCAAAATAATTTTAGCCCTTAATGTGTTGAATTAATGAAGGTAGAGTGTTGATGGGTTATTCAGTCATACAATAATGAGAGAAATAAATCCATAAATACAGTATTTTCAAAGCAGGAGTTGTTTTATTGAACTACATTTTAGTAAAGAACAAAATCATATAATATTGCAGTTATTATTTTCCTTCTTGGTCATTAAAATTCCTTCAAAATATTTACCAAAAAGAATTTCCATCACACACAATACTACAATAAGAACTATAGATAACATATTCTTTAGAGATTTATAATATGCATAGTTTCACATTAAATATTAACTGCTTCAAGGTGGCAGCAGTACCAAACTTATCACTTATAATAAACCATATTTTTCTTACTCCTGTTAAAATAGCTTCAGTATGTACAACCTTTCACACATCTCACGTGACACGGCACAAATAAGGCAATTGCTAACGAGTGGACCAAGTCTGGGGGAAAAACTGTCCGGGACCCCTTTACCTGAGGCAACCTGTAGCTTCCTACAGACCAGCTGCTGCTCCCACAACTTGTGATAATTTCACCTGATTACAACAAGTTTTAAATGCCAACAAAATGAGAGTGTTGGTAATATTAGTTTTTTACACAGTAAGAACAGTTTGATACGCATGTGCCCCTCAAAATACAAGACTCAATATTAACATAGGAAAAATTATTTTCTGACATTTTCAATAGAAGACAAAGACAGAGTACAATAACGTGTTGGACTTTGGCACATTTCCTCCCGCTTATTTGGAGCAACAAATAAATTCTTAGAAACAATACATAAACCAATTATGGAAACCTGATTTTACAAATTAAACAACAATTTGTTAAAGATATTTTGCATTAGACTTTGTCTGATGTAAATTCATACACATTACCTATTGCAGTTGCTATTTATTACATTAATTCAAATTACGAATAAATTGTATTAGATTATGTTTCACTTAATTAAAGATGTATTTGAAAGTGATCAGTACTACACGGAGCACTCATGAACACATGTGTTGGTGAAGCAATAACTTGTACACACACAACACATTACTTTCAACCTTTGACTTATCTGAGGATTTTCTTTGTAAATTTCAGTATAGTACTGTAATAGAATCATAATAAGAGAGCCTCAACATCACCTCACCTCACCTCCCAACCTTCAGCTTCAAGTGAAGGCCACACACAAGTAGGCCATCAAAGTTGTTCCCCCACTGTTCTCTCTGCTTCACATCACTCACCACCGACAAATAAAACTCTATTTCTTAAGTATAATGACACCTAAATAAAACTGCTCCACAAAAATCATTCTAATAAATATGTTTTAATTCTCATTTACAAAACTTTCTTTATTTTGTTTGAGTTGTTTATATTAGTGAGAGCAGTAAGTGATGCATTTGGTGTATTTCTCTCATCTACTCAACACTAAACATCAATAATAAAGAAACAATAATCTATTAAATTAACTATTGAAAGTGAAAATTATAAGTTTATCAATTGTAAAGTTATTTGTCAGGGTTCATCAGGCAAACATTGCAATACTGAACAAATACCAATAACAAAACATGATACTGTAATACAATATTCTCGTGTGTAAACAAGTGACAAAAATTTGTAAAGACTCTTTATCACGTCACAGCTTCAAGATCTTCCTTTTTGTTAAGACTCTTATCACGTCACAGCTTCAAGGTACTATATTATATTCTTTCATTAAGCTAAGCCACAGAGTGATCCCAAATACCTCTACCTAGAACCTAAATACTTTGTGTTACTGCCGAGTTAAGTGTGTACGAGTAGCCTCCCACTTACCCAAGGCCATCGTTCCAGAAGACCTTCCGTAAAGCAGGAGGTGCCCATACCTCACAAACTATCATCATAGTGTCTGTATCAAGTTCATGTTGCAGTGTACGGACGTCCCTCGACATACATAAAGATTTCCACTCCTGAAAAACCTTTTGTAAATTGAGACACGCCCATATAGTTACTGTACCATGCCTCATCACACGACACTAACACCCGGCGGCCATCCATCACTCGCTAGTTAACATTTACATCTCAGTGCAACACCAGTCTTAGTTCTAATGACTTCACAGGTTCAAATTTAGCATGACACTGTTTTTGGAAGTCTCGTGTGTGTGTGTGTGTCCAGTTAGTCTGTGTTGGAGGGAGAGGTAAATTAACAAACCTCTTGATTATTATTTATGCCCACAAGCCAGTATCAGAGTCTTGTTTTAACACATACCCCCCCACACACACACACACAAACTTTTCAAGGACATTGTCATGTAAAACTCGGTCCCATAATACGAGGCCACGATGTTTGGTAGAGCGTATAACTACAAGTGAAGCTTGTGGTGTAAACTACAGTACATATATCTCAGGTCACCAAACCTGTGCCAAGACTAATACAATACAATATTATGAATAAACTAGACATACTGTGTTAGAGGTGCTTGACACTTCATATAATTATTATGTAACAGTATTTACAAATTGTTGCTATCATCAGCACATAGGTAAAACCTGTAGTGTGTTGTTGCTTAAACTATCATCATAAATGAACAAACTTAAATAAAAATAATAATAATTTATACTAATATTGTATCTTGGGACACTTTTAACTACACAAACATAACTGAATATGAAATTAAGAGAAAAGGATCAGTGTAGTGGAGAGCATCAGTATAGTGTAGAGCATCAGTGTAGTGTAGAGCATCAGTGTAGTGTACAGCATCAGTGAAGGGCAGAGCATCAGTGTAGTGTTGAGCATCAGTGTGGCGTAGAGCATCAGTGTAGCGTAGAGCACCAGTGTAGTGTAGAGCATCAGTGTAGTATAGAGCATCAGTGTAGGGCATCAGCATAGCATAAGGGATCAGTGTAGTGTAGAGCATCAGTGGTTCTATAGTATGTATGTACAGTTATAAACAAACTAATAAGGAACTTAAGAGTGAGCAACATACTGTATAATGACTATCACAACACCTGACCTTCTCTTAAACCACATGACAAAGTTTGGCATATTGCAGGAGGAGGAGGAGGAGGTAATGAGAGGCAGTATCCTTGGTGGGCTGCTCTGTAGGGGAGCCAGAACCACAATGTAGGGCAGGTGACAAGCACCAACTGGAACACATCATTCAGAGCCTATTGCTACATCATCACACACCACCATCCTTCCTCTACCACCACTATTGTTACATCATCACACACCACCATCCTTCCTCTACCACCACTATTGTTACATCATCACACACCACCATCCTTCCTCTACCACCACTACTGTTGCATCATCACACACCACCATCCTTCCTCTACCACCACTATTGTTACATCATCACACACCACCATCCTTCCTCTACCACCACTACTGTTACATCATCACACACCACCATCCTTCCTCTACCACCACTACTGTTACATCATCACACACCACCATCCTTCCTCTACCACCACTATTGTTACATCATCACACACCACCATCCTTCCTCTACCACCACTATCATCATCACACACCACCATCCTTCCTCTACCACCACTACTGTTACATCATCACACACCACCATCCTTCCTCTACCACCACTATTGTTACATCATCACACACCACCATCCTTCCTCTACCACCACTATTGTTACATCATCACACACCACCATCCTTCCTCTACCACCACTACCATCATCACACACCACCATCCTTCCTCTACCACCACTATTGTTACATCATCACACACCACCATCCTTCCTCTACCACCACTACTGTTGCATCATCACACACCACCATCCTTCCTCTACCACCACTATTGTTACATCATCACACACCACCATCCTTCCTCTACCACCACTATTGTTACATCATCACACACCACCATCCTTCCTCTACCACCAAAAATCCTAAAAACAGTAAAGAGTCCAATAAAAATTACCCAAATGAATCAATTATGGTGCTGCTTATGGCATTAATTATGTCAAATATGTTGTTTCATATATCGATAATCACTAAATTATTCTACAGCAACACTGTTTAAGGCTTCAAAGAAAATTTTCCATTACCTCATAATCAAAAACATCACAGGCAATAACAAGGATATGACTCACACTCAGAATACCTGCGAGGACAAAGATGTGCTTTCTTTACTCTTCACAATTTGGGTCATATTTTACAAGTGTATTAACCTCTTATTCAATAAGCTGTACACAATAACATTTCGTCTTTCACTGGCTATTATCACTAAACAAGACACTTCTAAACCCTTAGGTTTTTGTGAGAGATCAAGTGATTTATCTATACAGTATAGTTAAGGAAAACGTGGCTATAAATACTACCCATTCAGCTTAATATTCGTCGTGTGCATCACTACATCCAATGACTTGAACAGCTGCAAGTACATCAGGGTAGGACAAGACCCTGGGCGGTATGCATCTCTCTTAAAATATAGTCATATATTACATGTTTAGCATTTAAATACAGTAATATATCCAAAAAGTATATCATGTATGAAAGAAAATTATCATGAAGAAGTATACTCATCTATACTGTACCAGACTTGAGTGTGCAGTATCACCCAGGGGCTCCTACCCTCATTCACTACAAGAAATTATCATTTATTTTGGAATCATAATATGCCGATTCTTAACACGTGTATATCACCTTTAACTCGAACGGTTTAACATTATATTATGTCCGAGTTTGTGTAAAAATTCTGCACATTACCATCTTTTTGTAAAAATTCCAAAATCTATCAAAGTGGGAAAACAGAAGTAGAGCAGAGTAGTGCAGGATGATGACTACAAGGAAAGGGTGCAGGGTAAGGCCATCTTGGGTCAACACTACCTGCTGCTGTCAAACCAACACCATCATTGTGAAAATACTGCATTACAAATTTCTTCACCAACAATAGATTACATAACACCACACACATGACAATGATATGATTCATGAGCAATGAGGACATATATTTATGCTTCCTACTATATGTTGATGAACAAGAATGTAACTAACTGGCATCCCTTAACACTAGTAAACTTTCCCCTGGGGCTTAATACAGCAAATTAACTGGAATAAATTCAATCAACTGAAGAAAAAACTAACACAGACGTTAATGGACGAACAATTAAATGTTTTCAATATTAACACTTGTAATTAATATTAACTTTCTCTAAAAAATTAAATTACTGTAACAGTTAAATGACATTAGAAATGAATCTTAATGTGCTTTTGACCAAGAGTACACTACTTGAGACAGAAGGGAGGACGTCACTTCATCAACAACTTACACTGTATGAGTGTGAATGGGAAGAAAACCGTGTATGCAAGTTCAGCTGTTATCAATTAAAAATTATTGCAAACAAACCTAAATTCCCCACAAAGAAAATACCAATGGTTACCAATGTCTATTTTCTTCACTGATACAACAAAACCTGACTTACATAGCTTCTTAATTAATCTGAACTGTATATATGTTTATTCTATCTATATACTCTTCCTTTATACACACCATGTACTCCCTCCACCAGCTATCATCATCCACCTCCCACACCATGTACTCCCTCCACCAGTTATCATCATCCACCTCCCACGCCATGTATTCCCTCCACCAGTTATCATCATCCACCTCCCACACCATGTACTCCCTCCACCAGTTATCATCATCCACCTCCCACACCATGTACTCCCTCCACCAGCTATCATCATCCACACCATGCACTCCCTCCACCAGTTAACATCATCCACCTCCCACACCATGTACTCCCTCCACCAGTTATCATCATCCACCTCCCACACCATGTACTCCCTCCACCAGTTATCATCATCCACCTCCCACACCATGTACTCCCTCCACCAGTTATCATCATCCACCTCCCACACCATGTACTCCCTCCACCAGTTATCATCGTCCACCTCCCACACCATGTACTCCCTCCACCAGTTATCATCGTCCACCTCCCACACCATGTACTCCCTCCACCAGTTATCATCATCCACCTCCCACACCATGTACTCCCTCCACCAGTTATCATCATCCACCTCCCACACCATGTACTGTATATGGTGCCATGACTAAATCTTACTTCTTATAACAATAATCAGTAAACTACAGGTGTAATAAACATAGATTTTGGTGATCTCATGAAGCTGGAAGTGTGGCGGCCATGGCAGGTGCACCTTCCCCACACTAGACCAATATGAGGTGACCCCTAGTAACATGACTTGATGGACCTGATCAATAACAAGACCTGATGAACCTGATCGATAACAAGACCTGATGGACCTGATCGATAACAAGACCTGATGGACCTGATCGATAACATGACCATAAACTAACTACTGTAACTAACAGCAACTGATTGCCTCCCCAGTGTGGTGACAGGTGCGTCTCCCTCCATTAAAGACATGCAATATAAACTTGGTAAACCATAACTTATTACAAGAAAATATTGACAGTTACTTAAGAATCAGAGCAAATATGATTATTATAATGCAAATATAACTGCTCAGGAAATTGTATTGCACTATATGAAAACCGCACAACTGAAAAATGTAATCAAAAGTCTTATAAGGGAGATGAGAATCTCCTTTACACATCACAGAATATGTTGCAATTTACAAAAAACATTTCCCTCTCATTTCCAGAATTTTACTACACGTTTGAAAAAAACTCCTACACTATGAAAAAATACTAAAATGAATTTTTGATCATCACAAATCACACTACGACTGTTGCTTTGCCTCCTGGTCGACACGTCGGGCCGTCCTAAAAGGTGCAGAGGACCCTGGGCTGACCATGTGTCGGGGAAGCCCATGCGATCTCGTCAGTCGGAGATTGTTAGCTGAGCAAATCCTATTAATGCCTTATCGTCTGGTGCTTCATTAGGCTCACAATCTGAATTCTGAAAATAAAGTAAAAAATAAGTGTTAAATAAAACACTTGGATGTCTGAGTGATGTACAGTACCACAGTTACCCTGTTAACTATCACTGTACAGTACCACAGTTACCCTGTTAACTATCACTGTACAGTACCACAGTTACCCTGTTAACTATCACTATACAGTACCACAGTTACCCTGTTAACTATCACTGTACAGTACCACAGTTACCCTGTTAACTATCACTGTACAGTACCACAGTTACCCTGTTAACTATCACTGTACAGTACCACAGTTACCCTGTTAACTATCACTGTACAGTACCACAGTTACCCTGTTAACTATCACTGTATAGTACCATAGTTACCCTGTTAACTATCACTATACAGTACCACAGTTGCCCTGTTAACTATCACTGTACAGTACCACAGTTACCCTGTTAACTATCACTGTACAGTACCACAGTTACCCTGTTAACTATCACTGTACAGTACCATAGTTACCCTGTTAACTATCACTGTACAGTACCACAGTTACCCTGTTAACTATCACTGTACAGTACCACAGTTACCCTGTTAACTATCACTGTACAGTACCATAGTTACCCTGTTAACTATCACTGTACAGTACCACAGTTACCCTGTTAACTATCACTGTACAGTACCACAGTTACCCTGTTAACTATCACTGTATAGTACCATAGTTACCCTGTTAACTATCACTATACAGTACCACAGTTACCCTGTTAACTATCACTGTAGAGTACCACAGTTACCCTGTTAACTATCACTGTAGAGTACCACAGTTGCCCTGTTAACTATCACTGTACAGTACCATAGTTACCCTGTTAACTATCACTATACAGTACCACAGTTACCCTGTTAACTATCACTGTAGAGTACCACAGTTACCCTGTTAACTATCACTGTACAGTACCATAGTTACCCTGTTAACTATCACTGTACAGTACCATAGTTACCGTTACTTATCACTGTAGAGTACCACAGTTACCCTGTTAACTATCACTGTACAGTACCATAGTTACCCTGTTAACTATCACTGTATAGTACCATAGTTACCCTGTTAACTATCACTGTACAGTACCACAGTTACCCTGTTAACTATCACTGTAGAGTACCACAGTTACCCTGTTAACTATCACTGTACAGTACCATAGTTACCTATTATATCACTGTACAGTACCACAGTTACCCTGTTAACTATCACTGTACCAGTACCATAGTTACCCTGTTAACTATCACTTTATACAGTACCACAGTTACCCTGTTAACTATCACTGTACAGTACCACAGTTACCCTGTTAACTATCACTGTACAGTACCACAGTTACCCTGTTAACTATCACTGTACAGTACCATAGTTACCCTGTTAACTATCACTGTACAGTACCATAGTTACCGTTACTTATCACTGTAGAGTACCACAGTTACCCTGTTAACTATCACTGTACAGTACCATAGTTACCCTGTTAACTATCACTGTATAGTACCTATAGTTACCCTGTTAACCATCACTGTACAGTACCACAGTTACCCTGTTAATCACTGTAGAGTACCATGTTACCCCAGCTAATTCATCACTGTAGAGTACTCACAGCGTCTGTTAACTATCACTGTACAGTACCATAGTTACTCCTGTTAACTATCACTATACAGTACCACAGTTACCCTGTTAACTATCACTGTAGAGTACCACAGTTACCCTGTTAACTATCACTGTACAGTACCATAGTTACCCTGTTAACTATCACTGTACAGTACCATAGTTACCGTTACTTATCACTGTAGAGTACCACAGTTACCCTGTTAACTATCACTGTACAGTACCATAGTTACCCTGTTAACTATCACTGTATAGTACCATAGTTACCCTGTTAACTATCACTATACAGTACCACAGTTACCCTGTTAACTATCACTGTAGAGTACCACAGTTACCCTGTTAACTATCACTGTAGAGTACCACAGTTGCCCTGTTAACTATCACTGTACAGTACCATAGTTACCCTGTTAACTATCACTATACAGTACCACAGTTACCCTGTTAACTATCACTGTAGAGTACCACAGTTACCCTGTTAACTATCACTGTACAGTACCATAGTTACCCTGTTAACTATCACTGTACAGTACCATAGTTACCGTTACTTATCACTGTAGAGTACCACAGTTACCCTGTTAACTATCACTGTACAGTACCATAGTTACCCTGTTAACTATCATCAGATAGTACCATAGTTACCCTGTTAACTATCACTGTACAGTACCACAGTTACCCTGTTAACTATCACTGTACAGTACCACAGTTACCCTGTTAACTATCACTGTAGAGCACCAGTTACCCCAGTTAACTATCACTGCAGCAAATTACAGTTACCCTGTTAACTATCACTGTACAGTACCACAGTTACCCTGTTAACTAATATCACTACAGTACCATAGTTGGCCTTGTTAACTATCACTATACAGTACCACAGCACCTGTTAACTATCACTGTAGAGTACCACAGTTACCCTGTTAACTATCACTGTACAGTACCATAGTTACCCTGTTAACTATCACTGTACAGTACCATAGTTACCGTTACTTATCACTGTAGAGTACCACAGTTACCCTGTTAACTATCACTGTACAGTACCATAGTTACCCTGTTAACTATCACTGTATAGTACCATAGTTACCCTGTTAACTATCACTGTACAGTACCACAGTTACCCTGTTAACTATCACTGTACAGTACCATAGTTACCCTGTTAACTATCACTGTACAGTACCACAGTTACCCTGTTAACTACTATCACTGTACAGTACCACAGTTACCCCAGTTAACTATCACTGTACAGTACCATAGTTACCCTGTTAACTATCACTGTACAGTACCACAGTTACCCTGTTAACTATCACTGTAGAGTACCACAGTTACCCTGTTAACTATCACTGTATAGTACCATAGTTACCCTGCTAACTATCACGTACAGTACCATAGTTACCCCAGTTAACTATCACTGTACAGTACCACAGTTACCCTGTTAACTATCACTGTACAGTACCACAGTTACCCTGTTAACTATCACTGTACAGTACCATAGTTACCCTGTTAACTATCACTGTACAGTACCATAGTTACCCTGTTAACTATCACTGTACAGTGCCATAATTAACGTTACTTATCACTGTACAGTACCATAGTTACCCTGTTAACTATCACTGTACAGTACTCTGCCAACACCAGTCTTCACTTTGGTAAAAAAAAAAAAACAGTAAATGTTGTGAATTGAATTAGACTCAGAAATTTATGATAAAATGCAACATAACATATCAACAATGTCTCTATTGAGACAGTGAAGGAGACAACCCACTATGATGGAGAGGGATACTGTGTCACTCCACCACAACCCACTATGATGGAGAGGGATACTGTGTCACTCCACCACAACCCACTATGATGGAGAGGGATACTGTGTCACTCCACCACAACCCACTATGATGGAGAGGATACTGTGTCACCACCACAACACACTATAAAGGAGAGGGATACTGTGTCACTCCACCACAACCCACTATAAAGGAGAGGGATACTGTGTCACTCCACCACAACCCACTATGATGGAGAGGGATACTGTGTCACTCCACCACAACACACTATGATGGAGAGGGATACTGTGTCACTCCACCACAACCCACTATGATGGAGAGGGATACTGTGTCACTCCACCACAACACACTATGATGGAGAGGGATACTGTGTCACTCCACCACAACCCACTATGATGGAGAGGGATACTGTGTCACTCCACCACAACCCACTATGATGGAGAGGGATACTGTTTCACTCCACCACAACCCACTATGATGGAGAGGGATACTGTGTCACTCCACCACAACACACTATAATGGAGAGGGATACTGTGTCACTCCACCACAACACACTATGATGGAGAGGGATACTGTGTCACTCCACCACAACACACTATTATGGAGAGGGATACTGTGTCACTCCACCACAACACACTATTATGGAGAGGGATACTGTGTCACTCCACCACAACACACTATTATGGAGAGCGATACTGTGTCACTCCACCACAACACACTATAATGGAGAGCGATACTGTGTCACTCCACCACAACACACTATAATGGAGAGGGATACTGTGTCACTCCACCAATGGAACTCAGGCTGTCGCAGTTCTTGTTCTGTCTCAGGGGCACAGTTGTAAAAAGTACCGGACTTTGTTACTTAAGTTAAAGTATTGTTACGTTGGCAGAATGTTGCTCAAGTTAAAGTAAAAGTATCCAAAGATCAATGTACTCAAGTAGAAGTAAAAAAGTATCTCATTCTTAAAGTACTCAAGTACTGAAAGTAAAAACAAAATAACTAATTATATCAAATATTAAAATAAATCCACAGTAAATTATAAAACAATAGTTAAATAAAGACATAAATAAGACACAACATTACACATGTTTATTTGCAAATCTTTCTATTAAGATTAGTCAATAAATCATTCTCAAAATTACCGCTGACTAAGCAGGACCTTTTAGGCCTAAATATAAGTCCAGCATGACCCACCGAAAGAGAATACGTTCAGCCGCTCCTCTCCATGAAAATATATCCATCCAACACAATGATCACTTTCTTCCTTATCCACACAAGTGTGTCGACATAGACTTATGGTCCACAGACATAATGTTGTCCCTGCTAGCATTAGGTTAAGATATAGACCTATCTGCTAAGTATCTGAGGCAGGGGATGACCCACACTTCTCTTCCTGTAAACTCTGTAGTTGTCCCAACACTAACACCCTTCAACAATATTGCCTTGACTGTCCCACTGTCAGGGACCTCCTACCACAGGGAGAGTCACTAACCACTATATGTCACCACCTACTTATTCATAATAATTTAGATTTAATTCTTGTACACTTCCCACACTTTGGTGGTGCTAACTCCCATTGTCCTTAAATCACATCAATATTGTCTCAATATCACAAGTCATAGA